ATCAGCAGCATCCTCTTCACAGCTAGCAACACCCAAGACTTTAATATCATCTACAAATTTAAGTAATTTATTATGTACCTACACGGACATGAAAGGGGGTCAGGGAAAGTGCGAGATATTCTGGCCCTCATGTAGTATTTAAATTCGTATTTACCTAAAACAGCTACCATTTGCACCTGACCCTCCCAACCCGATAAAGGGAACGGCGAGCAGTAACCACTGCAGAAACGTCATTCAAGGTATTTGTTTTTCATTACACTATGTCATGTATATTGAAAAAGAGGAGTGTAAGTTGATTTTAACAGGATGTAATATGTCGCACAATTTCATGTTTTTTTTTCTATTTCTTTCCCCTACCATTCTAGTGGAGAATTACGAAAAGACAAATGAATACCATACAACATTAAATACCTGATAGATACTCTGTTTGGTGTACTGCATTTTTTTACAAAGAAAATATTAAAAATACAATCACCTTGCATGTCAAGCAACCCAATGGAAATAAAAAGATGTTTATCATTCTACAAAGTTCAAAACCGATAATTATAGTTAAAAGGTAAAACAATTAACTGGCACAACTTTTTTCATTTCATTGGTATATATCTAAATAGAATTGCAACAAAATCTTTATTTTGCAGGTACTGAAGTTTATGATTAAGTCAAAATTATTGTGACCTATGATTGTGACCATTTTCTGGCCATTTTAAACAACAAAAAGCAAACATATTTGTTAAGCGTCTACCTTGCTTATTCCTGTTCCCAGTTTTAATTACCAAGTTATATTGCTCATCATTTACGAAACTACAGTTTTCTGAAGTAGTGTCCTCTACAGAAAATTATTCTTCAAATAATATATTTTATTCTTTGGACCATTACTTTGGTAATAACTAATCAAGACTTCTAAACACGGTTAATCAACAGTTAATATAAAACACATTTTGTGTTGTTTTCAATAATTTTTGCGCAGTAACGAATTTATTTATAGGCTGTTCACTAATTAACCTTTTCGTTTATTACATTCTCCATGATAAAAGTTTAAGGGCGCTGTTATTTATTTGTGTAATCCATATAATTTACATAATGTAACGAATGACAGTCTATGACAGAATATTGTACAATCTTATATTCAAAAAGTTTTAGTAATATAGTTAGTTTGTTAACTTTTCTTATAGCACGTGTGGCAGTCCTTTCCAGGCTCTCTCAGAGGTTCAGAGAGGCCCGGGTCACTTCTATCTTTTGATGTCCCTGGTTATATAAAAAATGATGACACATGAAATCAAAATAAGACAATCATTAGCCCAAAAGAAAATTGAAACATAATTTCAATATTTTTTATTTAACATATATTCATTAACATTATTTGACATTTAATAAATGCTTTTCTAGCCTTTTCCTGTGCATAAAAAGAAGTCGCGAAACTTAACAAATGCAAAGAAAAAATAACAAGTGTCTAAATGGCCCTCTTATCCCCTCTTTCTAATTAGCCCTAGTTATTTCTTTAACAGATAATCTATTTATATATGCTATGTAATTTAGAGCTAAGACGATCATTCAGAGTATAACTAATTATTTTCCGTGTTAGTGTGGTACAGGATAGTACCATGTATTTTCTACTCCCTTTTCAAAATTTCAATATTTTCTTTTAATTCAATTTGAACATAGAAATGTCACACAAATAGACACATTTCAAGTCTTATTCTTGTTAGCTATATCTGGGATCTCGTTCGCTAATTGACAATTAACTGTCTTTCTAGCAAGGTAAATGGCACGTGTAGAAGATGTTTCGTGTGCAAACATGGTTTAAGTTTTTATTGTATTTTCTAATATTAAAACCAGGCTCTCTACTGTTAGCAAGATTTTTACTGAGAGTTTTCTCTATTCAAAATTTTTATTAGACTGATATATTTTGGTAAGATTTTTGATATACCTTTTTATTAGAGCGTTTTGTAAGATTTAATACTGTTTTAGTTTAGCTGATATCTCAGTATTTCTTATTTTTTAGATATTGTTTTAACATTGGGTTTATTTTCATTTTCTAGTTTTACTTAACTGTAGTTTACTTTAAGGGGGTACACATTAGATTGATGAGAAAGAGATCACTGAAGTTTCATTTTCTTTCTCTCTCTCTCTCGCCAGTCCAACATAGCTGCAACAGACACATTTGCATTTGTTTTATTTATGAGTTTTTGTTGTTATTTGTTAATAAAGATTATTCTTGTGAATCTTTCATAATTCAAATATTTCTTTTTGATGAATTCAGACAAAGATGGAAGAGATAAACTGGTACCAGCTCTGTGAGCAGGTATCCTTCAAAACACCGTTTAGCAGTCCCTAACTGACTACTCTGAGGGAAATCCGCTACAGAAAAGTTCCATATTAGTATATCACTTTAAAAAATAAAATCATTTGCTCAATAGTAGGAAATAATATAATTCCAAGTTGCACTATTGATTTGTTTGTTTTCAGACTATATTCAAACAAATCTACTCAAGGACTATCTGCTCTAGCCGTCCCTGATTTTGAACTGATAGATTAGAGGGAAGGTACCACTCACCAATTCTCGGGTTGCTCTTCTCAGATTGAATAGTAGGATTTGATAGTCACTCTTATAACACACCCATGACCCTAATGTACGAAAAGCACCTTTTTTTTTACTGCGAACATTGGCCCAGGAATGCTAACCATTGGGCTTACTAGTATTGAAAGAATTAAAATTAAAAAAAGGATTAAATTATTTGAACAGACGAATGTGCGTAAAATGTACAGATGAATGTGCATTTGCAGGAGTAAATTAAAAAGTTAAAAAAAGTAAAACGGAAACCAATCAATAAAACAGTAACATTAAAATAGCTTTATATTTTGTATCGAGACACAAAGCAAACATTAAATAACAGTAAGTATATTCATGACAATGTTTTTGAAACAAATTAAAGATATTAGAATGACACGTGTTATTTATAATTATAAGAACTTTGGTTTGTTTTGAATTTGCGCATTTCAAGAACCATCTACCTATCCCTAATTTAGCAGTGATGGACTAGAGGTAAGACACCCCTCTAACTCGTGAGTTACTCTTTTACTAATGAACAGTGTGATTGACCATAATATTATAACACCCTCACGGCTGGAAAGGTGAGCTTGTTCGGTGAAGAGGATTTGAACTCGCGACCCGCAGATTACGATTCGAGCACCCTAACCACCAAGCCACATCAGGCTGTATGTAAAAAGTAATGGAGATAAAGAAATTCAATGAATTTCATTAAGCTATTTTCGACATAAAGAAAGTATTATCTACAAGTGTGAATGTTTTGCTTTACTTAGGGTTAGAAATTTAAAAATTTCATTTTCTTTGTCAAAATAACTTCTGTGATCAAAGAAGACCTTAATGTTCATTTCTTAACTGTAACTTCTGTCTACGTATCTTTTATACAAGCAGAAATAAAATGTAATTTTAGGCGATGTAAAGTTAATAAGTTAGTTTGTAGTCCTGAGGATATTGTTGTTTAAAATAAGTATTGATTGACTTGCAAAAGAAAAATCGCGCACTTGCCTTCATTGAATGATCTGTAAATAAGCATTACTTTCTAATTTCGGATCACCCTTAAACGTTTACTTAGTAGCATGGCCATTTGAAAAAATAGAAAAGCTTGGTCACTTGTTTGCTTAAAAATATTCCATCTCAAACAATTTTTTTCATGACTTAATTGTTTAGTTTCCCGTTTTTACGCATTGTGTTGAGTTCTAATGAAAATGATATTGAAATGCAATAACTACAACTCAACAATATGCTACAATGGTGTCTCAGTCGTTTTATTAGGGTGTATAATTTTTTATCCGCGAAGTATTAATTCTATCATATATAAATATATTTTTTCACAGAGATTTTTAACACGTTTAAATCCATTTGCATTGTCTCTGCTTGAATACTTAGGTTACACAGATACATGTTATCACTAAGCACGGTTGTGCTTAGTATGTAGGAATGGGCCGAAAAAACAATGGCTGCCATATTCAATCTATTACTCTATAATGCTTACAAATAACTGATAAAGTTGAGTTATAGCCTTATTTGAGCACCTATTTGTCAATATCGAGTGTTTCACAGCTTGTGTAATAGTAATACTATTCTGTTTTCTACCACACGTATTTTTATGGGGAAATAATAAAAAGGAAAACTTCTACTTAGCAGTGAGTTCATTTTACAAGCATATATTATTTCCATGTTTCACAAACAACAGTTTCATTTCTGGTCGCTAGATGGTAGCACACATTGTTCTTATATAAAGATTGTTTGTGACTTTTCATAAACAAACATGATATCTGCCAAACAATTTTAGAAAAAATGAATAAATAAATAAAGAATAATCTAAATTATATTCAAGGTATCAAGGAGATCAAGTATTAATGCAACTGACAGATCTATGTACATGTTATTGATGTATGAGTTTAAAAATACCAGTTTCTTAATTATCAAAAAATACATTATACAGCTGTCTACTTTTCTTCAAATTTTCAGTGGGGCCGAGTCTGGCAGCTGTTTGTGTATGCGTGGTACCATATTTCATGCCTGGGATATGTATTATGTCTTCCATATTAATCGTCAACATGACTCTAGCATGTGGTGGAGTCAATTGTATGCACATATAGAGGGTTGGGGCGAAGTTGGAAGGCGTGGGTTCTGTAATTATCTCCTTAACGTCTGTTCAGCGCTCCAGGGTACTTGTACCATTATTGAGGAATCATTCAAACTTCACTGACCCCCATTGTAATTCAAAATTAGAGAAACTGACAAAACTAATATGATATTAACAATATATATTACCATTGAATTATAAAAATAAAACAAATGTTTACTTAGTAACTTATTTCAATGAAATTGTTAGAAAAGGAGGGGAAGGAAGTAATAAAAACTTTTACAAAAATTAAGTATAATCCCTACATAAGTAGCCAGTAAGTACTGAGTCAACCTTACAAGCTTATGGTTATTATCCACTGTAAGACTGTATAGCACTATTCATTTTAAATGCTTAAATGAAGTTCATGTGAATAAATATTTTGATAGCTTTTTTGGAAAATGGTTACTAGTCAGTTTGAATGAAAGATACACGATTACATACGATATCAATTCTAGGTGTAGTTTCCCAGTAATTTGTTTGTCAAAAACTGTTACTCTTTGCATTCACAAGAAAGAAGTTTAGGCTAGTTTATCAAACCTTTAAATTAATACACGTACTTTAACAATTTTCCTATGGTTTCAATTTTTCTTCCTAAGCCAATTAAATTCAGCTCAAACAAAGATAGTGATCTGAATACCAGTTTGGTTTTTCTATTTATACTTTGATTTGAGGTCTATTTAAAAAAGAAAATCACAATGAAACAATTCGCAGAATAGAACTTCAACTTGAGTTTTGAATATATTCAGTGGTAAATTATGATATATGAAAGTTATTACATGTTCTGAGTTATAACGAGGTGAATTATATGCATTTAAAAGGTTATTTAACATGTCAGTCTGTTTGTGAAAAAGAGAACCTGTAAATGAATGAAAATATAAACGAATGTATTCAGACGAGCAGTCTGATTTTGTAATTTCTGATATTTTTATTCTGGTGTAGACCAATTACGTTCCATGTAAGAGTTACAAAATGTCTTACAGATATTTTTATTTACATTGAATAAACTATGAAAGTTATTTTTGTTTAAATAGCGGTTCATTTCAAAAAGCAAAGATAAGTAACATTTCAAGGATGATATCTCTGTGAAAATTTTAACTGATAATAATAGCTTAACTAATATAAAATTAATTCAATTTATACTTCTAAAGTTTATCCAAAAAGTTTCATGAATGCTGATTCATTAAAGGAATTCAACAATATTTAAGACAATTCTAGCATATAATATTGATCAATCATCTTAGAAAGCAAATAATCATAATGAGTAAATCTTACAATTTTGTTGATGTAACACTTAGGATATTTTATAACTTAAACAAATCTTAAATAAACACTTAAACTAAGCTTTTGGTCAGGGCATTAATTTTGTTTTATGCTGATCCACATTTTTTGTTCAATCAAATAATGTTAAAGAAAGATTGAGATTTAATTGTAGAATTCTCTACACTCAGAGTCTACAGAATCTTCAAACATCTTGTTCGATACTGAAACAGATATATGTAACAGTCTTTAATAAGTTGTACTATTAAAATTGTGTTGTGGAGATAGAACAAAATATTACACGATAAACTCTTAATATTCTATTTCAGTGTTAAACTGTAAAGGAATTTTTGGGGGGTGGCGACATATAAAAATCAATTTCCATTGTACGACCAAGTAAGAATAAAAAATATCTATCTTTATTGTCTTTTTCAAGCTCTCATTCATCGTCATAATATTCCTCATATTCTTCATCTTTTTCTATATTTTTATGTTTTTCATAATATTCCTCATCTTCTTCATTTTTTTCTTTATTTTTATGTTTTCTAGATCTTCGCCTTCCTTCCTGCTCTACGTCAGGTAATGTTGTTGTTTCCGCATAGAGGGCGTCGTTTTTATTGTAAAAGAGTTCAGATGAGGCGCAGTCAACCTTATTTACAAATCTGCATGTAAACGTTTGTTGATCGTAAAGAGTGTAGTTAGGACAGAGGAAGTCGAACCTTTGCCCTCCGAAACAGTAATGGAAGAGCTGGAAACAGAACACGAAATATAATAGAACATATATAATTAGACACTGAAATTTAGTATTATTGACTTTTGAGGGATAAGCCTATTTTTAAACCTTTTTATCAAAGATGATGAAACTAATGTCTAAGCTGCTGGTAAAGCAAGGTATACGAGTGTAGAATTTTTACTTGGCGAGAAAAATCAAATCTTTTTTACAGAATAATCGTTTTGAACATTTTGTCCTAGTCAATCATATGTTTAGAAATTTAAATTAATATTGATATTAAAGATTCAAAACATATGTTTGTAAACTGTGTGATACTGTTTCAATTAATATCGTTTAAGCAAATGTACCAAACTTCTGATATGATAAATATCAACAGTATTCTTTAAGAAACTCATTTTTGTCTCAAAAGAACGAGTTATAGCGCGAACTTTTGAAATGATGTCCTCCAACATATATATTTATGTCCTACATTATTGTTCATTCTTTATTCAGCAAATTTGTTAAAAGGTAGAAAATGGGCAACCTTTTAGATAATTTATTAATTAAATTAACATTTGACTATCTCAGTGCTAGTGTTCATACGAATACATGATAAGTAAAAGAAGAATTAAATTCCATTGAAACTGAATTTGCTAAGTACATTTTATTAGTCCAATTACAATTGTTATTAATGTTATTTAGCCTACTGTCCCTTGAGGTTTTTTCTCCCTCTGGATACCTGATGTTCCAAGTTAAAAAAAAAGGTAAACTTTTTTGAAGAACAGTTAGAAAGAGTATTCTCGATGCTCCAAGTTAAAAAAAAAGGTAAACTTTTTGTGAAAAACAGACAGATAGTGTTTGATGGTCCAAGTTAGAAAAAGAGGACAAAATATGTCAAGAATAATTATACAGAAGGTGCTTGATAACCTAAGTTAGCAAAAGAGGGTAAAAGATTGTCAAGAACAATTATACAGAAGGTGCTTGATAACCTAAGTTAGCAAAAGAGGGTAAAAGTTTGTCAAGAACAATTATACAGAAGGTGCTTGATAAATTAAGTTAGCAAAAGAGGGTAAAAGTTTGTCAAGAACAATTATACAGAAGGTGCTTGATAAATTAAGTTAGCAAAAGAGGGTAAAAGTTTTGTGAAGAAAAATTAAAGAGTGTGTTTGATGCTCGAAGTTATCAAAAGGGGTTAAAAGTTTTGTGAAGGAAAGATAGACTATTGTAAATTGTATATTACATGTATTTTTCAAGTGTATAGGTAGTCTCCCCATGCAAAACTATTACTTTTTGATGAACAAACACTAATTACCTGACATCTGTGTGGCACACTAGCATAATAGCCATCATGACGGTCATCGCAGTCAAAGATGATGTTATCTGGAATGATGGGATAGAAAGGATAACCGTTCAAGTCGACGCCATTGAGCTCTCGGGGAATGTTGGGATCAGACAAGTAATCGATGTATCGACCGTCGTATCTTGGTGGATAGTATCTACGAGTGGTGGTGGGGGCAGAGGTTGTTGTTGTAGTGATAACCGTAGTAGTGGATATATTTGTAGTATTTGTTTCCTGATGGTTTGAAACAGATATTCTACCCCTTCTCCTGCCTAATGGCCTCCTTATATACGACCCTTCATTATCACCATTTCCTACTCTGAACCGACGTCCAGGACGGCGAAAGCGACCGCGAAAACGTCGTCTAGGTGGCGGAGGTGTCGTTGTTGTAGTAGTCGTAGTAGTAGTTGTAGTATGGTCAAGGTAATCTACGTAGTAGTCATCACCATCGTCATAATAATAGTAGTAGTAATCAGGTTCTTTAGTCGGTGCAGCTATACGGTTACGGTTGGGGTTTCTCCTTAGATATCTAGATTGTGGCTCTCGTCGGGAAACTTGTCTCTTGCGCTATATTCACCAAAATTATGTAATAACTTTTACCAGGAGAGTTTCTAAAAATCCCCAATAAAAAATTATAATTAATAATAATTAGTCTTAATTATAGGTGACAAACAAATCAGAAAAAAATCCTCTATGACCATTGTACCGCAGGTCATCTGTTGGCTACTCTCGATGTTAGCGATGTGTTTGGCCTTTATTCCCAAAAATACCTCATAAGGTTGGGTCTGCTTAGGGGATTCTTAAGCATGGAAGCAATATTTTTATTATATATATATATTAAGAACTTCATAATTAAATTGGTTTACCAAAAGTATCTTCTCATATATGTTGTAATGTAATTTTAATATGGAGGATGATTATTTCTAATAAACATTAGCGGAAAATATAATTTAGGCTTTCAAGTTTGTTTGTTTTTTAATATAACTCTATACTCCAAAATAGCTGTCAATAGGTTAATTAGGCCAAATTATGCCTTTTCAAGTATTAGGGGTCTTAAAAGATTTTGTTTGCTGTTTGTTGTTAAGTGCCCACCGTTGGGATCGAAATCCGATTTTTAGCATCATAAGTCCAGAGACTTACCGTTGAGCCACTTGGGGCTATTTTGCTTGCTCCTCCTATGCTGATTTTACTCATTACGTTATTAAAGCATTAATTCTAAATCTAGCAAAAATCTTGCTCAAAATATCATTTTATTTTACACTTCATACGTCATAAAATGTCACAAAATTACCGCCAAAAATAAATAAGTAAACAAAAAACCCCAAAATGGTTTGAAACGTTACTGATTTTTTTGTAGTTTTTTGTATTTGTATTTTGACAACTACCGTTTCGGTATTGTTTTTGGAATTAATTTATAAATAAAGTTATCTATATGAATTTTTTTTATAGACTGAAAATATTTTGAGCATTCCTTGAAAAATGTTCATTATTAACCGCGGCGTAGCGGCTCATAGAATGACTCCGAGTTTTTTTCTCAAGTACAAACTTTTAGCTCATATCTCCGTAATCTATTGAACGATTTGAGATCTAATTACAGTTTTGGACTCAAGAGGTCAAATTATTGCAACTGATGTATCTGACCACGCTCAAGGTCTCATAGTTTAATTTACTCTAATCCTGCCTACAATAATTACAATTTGAGGATAAGCTGCTAGAGATCCTGATGAGCAATAAAATCGAATCTGGTATACGCGCGCCCCACGCTTGGTGTGCTTGGTATTTATTTGTTTAAACGCCACCACTGTGCACAAATAACATGTTTCTTTCATTTGATACGTTTAACTCGATTGGCATTAAGAATAAGATATAAAAACAACAACAAAATCTGCTTGGATGTTTCGAATCTGTTGGAACACTCAGAAGCGTATGCTGCTTCTGTCACAGAATTATTTTATATAGATTTTTCCAAACATATTTTATATATATTTAATTCAAATAAACTATATTTTCAGGGGTCATATAGTACCAATCCTCTCGACTCCCAGTGGCTCAACGATAAGTCTGAGGGCTCATACTATTAAAAATCAAGTTTCGATACTGGTAGTAGGCTTAAAACAAACCAAATTTCTTTCCACGATTATAATCACAAAAGTAATTAATCATTTTTACTGAAAGTAAATAAAGAAAATAAGCTCATTGTATTAGGTCGTCAGGAAGTTAAGCTTTTTTTAGATATAAACCCGAACAACTTATATCAAAACAAAACATTTATGAAATGAAAGTCTCCATTCTTATCGATGATGCTTTTCCATCTTACAATCAGGTTGTTAATGCCCTAATTAAAGAAATCATTTGGTTTAGAAGCAAAAAAACATCTGGAGAATATGGTGGGTGGGGGAAAACTTCCCAACCCAACTCCATAATCTTGTGTTGCATCAAACGTGCTACACGTGGACGTTCATTGTTGTGGGGAAGAAGAACAGCTTTCCGATTGACGAGTGAAGGGCGTTTCTGATGAAGAGCTTGATTTAAACGTTTCAGTTGCCGACTATAGATTTCTACATTGACAGTTCGCTGTGGATTGAGGAGTTCGAAATGTATTACTCCTTTGATGTCCTATCAAATGCAAAGCATTATTTTCTGCGGATGGAGTCCAGGTTTGGGGGGTCGGAAGTGGTTTTTGTCTAGGACTGAGCCATTGTTTTTGGAGTTTAATATTCGCATAGAGAATCTACTTTCCCTCACCAGTGACAATTCTATTCAAAAATGGTCCACGCGCATTACGCGCCAGAAGAGACGAAGCAACGTTCACATATTGGAAACGATGATCA